TAGTCTTTGCAAGAGTCAACCTAATATGAAACTGATTTTATTTATTGAATTGGCTAATTGAATCTAATGTTTCAATATTTTGATATATTATTACCGTGCTTTTTATTAATTCAGTAATTTTTCCATTACGAATCAAAATCCGATAATTCATTTTAAAAGGCCCCGCCACAATTGACTGAGATTGAAAATAATTGAGATAGTGTAATATTTTACAGCTTTGCTATAGATTTGTATAGTGCCATAGATTTGTACAGTGTAGTTCCCTATCAAAAACTGTTGTATCTTAAGATTTTAATATTCGATCTCTATTTCTTTGCAAAAATTACTCTTCATGCAAACCATTTCTCAACTATGTACTGTTTGTGCGCATCGTAAAATATTTATACAATGGGAATATTTATACAATATACAATGGGAAAATTGTCTTTTTTTAATTCTTGATTTGTCATAAGGTCAGAAAAATATCAACAAAAATTTGGTGAATAAAACACTCACTAACTAAACGCGTGCTGAAAAATTATTCTTATTTAATTTAATTGAAAAATTATTAAAAATTATTTATTATAAAAAGGTGAAAATTTAGAGTTGTGTGAATTTTTTAATTCCGCATTATAAACATTGAAATAAAGCGAAAATTGATACCAGAATTTTAAAAAAAAGTTAGGGTGAACAACTCTTTATAAAAATAACTAGTTTTCTTAAGTAAAGAGTTCCATGTATGTTCCAATTTCAAATTATAGAAATTAAAAGAAAGAAAATTGATCCCAAAATTTAAAAAATTATTCAGGATGAATAATCCTTGATAAAAATAAATAGTATTCTGAAGTAAAAAGAATTGTATGTATTTTTCGATACCGAATTAAAAAAATACAATAAAAAATTGACCTTATATTTGAAAAAAATTAATAGGGTTGAACAACCCTTAATAAAAATTAATTGTTTTTTAATGTAACATTTAACCATGTTCATATAATACTAACAAAATCATAAGTAAAATCATGTCAAATAAAAGTCAAATTAAAACTGAAAGAAAATTGACTCCAAAATTAATAAAGTAAAAAAAGTTCTGTGTATTTTTCAATTTCGAATTAAAAATTTATAAAAAATATAAACGTAACATAGCCTTGTCATAACATTAGTCTATTTTACGGTAAAATCGACCTCTGTATCAATATTAATAAAAGCTCTGTGCAGAAACAATTAGAATTTTTTAATTAATTTAGTTTAGTACTAAATTTTAGTACATAATAATTTTAGTAGTAATTAGTTGACTATAGTACTAAATTTTACTAGTTAATAAATAGCTCAATATAATCCTCAATATAAATCGTTAGTACAAAAAATTATATCATTCATACATGTTTTTATAACAGTAAGACGTCGAAAGAATAGCAAAAAATTAATTTAAAATATTAATAAAATAATAATAATAATAAAAATATGAATATGAAATATTTTAAGAAAATGAGTTGCTCGTTGCTCTGAAGCAAAACATCTGAAATTTCACTATATTTTATGATCTTCAGCATATTAAATATTTTAATGCTAATGACTCGCGATTACAAAGCTAGTGATAAGGGCTTTTAAAATATGCCATTAAAATAAAACATTACTATTATAGACAACAATTATTGCATTATTTTGCAAAACTAGTCCCTCGATATATATGTTCAAATGTTACCAGAAAAGATCAATTTATCAGATCAATAATTCCATGATTTTTCTACTAGCTGTGATCCCACAAACTTTGTATATTGTACAATATTGCCTCCTTACCTTATATACTCTATTTTCGGCAACGCCTCGCAAACTTTAGCCCTATCTATCAAAGTTAACCCTTCGTGTATTGTGCGCAGGACTTGCGTAGAAACTTTTCGTATTCCTCTACCTGGATCCTTTGCTTGTTGTGATAGTATTTCATTCTGGAGAAAGGTCCGGCGATGGTTCCCACGAGCAAATTCTGCAACAGATTATTGCAGGTTGTTATGCCATGTTATGATGACTTACATATCATAGCGATGGTGGTAAATATTTTTTTCGGTTTTGGTTAATAGCGATTTGCTTTAATGCGCTAAACTTTATACACATTATATTTATTAAGTTATTTCACAAATTTAAATAGTAATTCATTAAAATATAAAATTTATATGTAAACATAATTTTTGTCTTTTGAAATAATATTTCCAAATAATATTATACAATATTTTTTTATATTATATAAAAGCATATTCTACTAATACTCCTTTTGTTGCTCTTATAAGTCATTCTTATGCGTTTGACACCAAAATTGGAAAAACCATGTGCATGCGAGGCTAAATCTAATTTTTTTGGTTTGGGATGGATTGGTTTCAACAAGAACAGGCAAAGGATTCTTGTAGATTATTTTTGCGCAATCGGTTTCTTTATAATTAACAAATAAATGAAAAGTTATTCGAAAACCTGAAAAAAATTGAGGATTTAAAAACCATTCGAAAGATACCGTACCATTACAATGCTGTTGGGAATCGGGCTGATTGGTAAAATATTTTCAAATAAATTATTATAAATACTGTTACGTTTCCAAATATTTATAAGAATTATATAAACTGAATTACAAAGTTTAAATTATTTATTCAAAGTTATTAAGCGAACTTTAGACCTTTAGCCAAAAAGAAAATTAAAATCTGAGTTATTTTCGATATACAAAAAAAATTTTTGAAAAAAAAAATAATTTTGAAATATTTTTTGCACATTTAGCTCCGTATCTTTGATATGCGTGGACCTGCCTTTCCAAAAACTAACTACTTTTCCCAATCATTACAAATTTTGGATCAGAATGTTTTTTGGTTCATTCAAATCGATACTCCGTTCTCTCAAAAACTCGATTTCTATTTTCTGCACCTTTTACTCCGTATCTCCGTAATGGCTAGTCCTGCCTTTGCCAAAAACTAATCAGCACATCTCCCTAGTAATAGAAATTGAATGTTTTTTTTACTATTCAAATCGGTTGATCCGTGCGCACGAAAACATGGACGAAATATTCCAGACGCACAATACACACACACATCCAATTTTGCTGAAGTATACCAAAGTGTTCAGAAACCTCTGAAACGTGAAGACATGCAAACATTTTCTTTTTCAATTTTTGGCCCATTATTATAACTCACCCTACGGGAAGTTAATAAACATATTAATAATCAAATATTGTTACAAAATTCTATAAAATTGTTTGTATTAATATGAATGAACATTATAAAATTCGATTTGAAATTTGTCACCAGCTTTACTTAATACTCGTATTCAAAATGTATGTACGAAACAAATATTGTTGGTACATAGTATTTTAATACGTTTTTATTTCATATATTTCTCGCTAACTAACAAACATAATTCGTATTGGAAAAAATAGTGTAAAAATTGCAACCAATTGTAGTTTCGCTAGTCCAATTAATTACACTTGTCAAAACATCTAAAACAGGTTAGAACGATCGGGTAGTACAATAAAAGGTTCAATTCTAAAAAGGGGTAAAATAAATGAGATCGTATTTTTACCTACCAACAATTCAACCCTTCACATGGCTGCACCTGATTCGAACATACGAACGATGGAATTTCGGTTTCACATATAAGTTAACCCTATCTACCTGCGATTCGATACACATACACCATATAATGTGTATCGATATATTTACAAGCACAAAACAGGTATATTATCGTCTGCCTTTCAATAATAATAAGGGTTAGGATAAAGTTAGCAAAGGGCAAACCTTAAAAAAACATATACGATATAATTCTGAAATGAAGAAAATATCGAACTGTCATACCTGTGATTTTGTTTCGTTTGCCGATAGTCTCAAATATAATCCGTCTATAAATCAACTATATAAGTTTTTATTAATCGCGATTGAAGTTGCCGAATTGGTATTAAGGATTAAAAAACAATATTTAGAAAAATATATTTAGTATCTTTGGTAATTATAGAGATTAGAATGATAGATTGTTTAAGGCAAAAGGTAAATAAAAGTAGTTAGATTCAAAAATTTACTAATTCTCAATTTAACAAAAAATATTCGTTGTAGTGTAGGCAAACGTTTATTTATTAGAGATCTATAAATGAAAATTCCTACATACATAATTTTCAAAATCACTTTTATTTTAGAATGCAATAATATCTAAATTACAATTTTTCAATTGCAGTCATTAAGTCGATAGTTTACACATATGGAGAAGTTAATTCAATCTCCCTTTTAAGCAAAATGCTACTTTAGCATCCCTTTTAAGCAAACTTTAGCAACTTTAAAAGTTGAAGTTTATATCAAAATTTATGATTCTAATTTAAATTCAGATTTTATTCTAATTTGTGGCTAAAAATGTTTACTATTTAAGTCATTGATATTATGTCCATTAACAATAGCTCATCATATATAACACATAAAATAAATATGATCAAAACAAAATAAATATAAATATTATAAAAAATATGTGGAAAGTGTTTGTACATACTTAAATGTAAATGTATTTGAGTACTTTTAGTAATGGTATTCATATTTATATTCATTCAAAAATGAATGCATATTTAATATGTAAAATTAGTATTTCCTATGGCAGTTGCAACGCCTTTTCCGTTTATAGTCTGTATTTTTCTCTGAGTTTTAATGAAATCTTCGTTTTAATTAATTTAATTTCAGATAAGGGGTAAATGGTAGTAGTCGCTTGTTGTCAGCAAGTGTTTCATTAAGATAATTGCGATAAACATTTAATTAAAAGTCTGTTGATTAGAATCTGTGTCTGTAATTAATTTTCCACAAGTGGCGGCCACGAACAGATTTAGTTTTTGAGGCAGCCAGAAATTATGCGTCAAATAATAGCCCGAAAATAATTAACGTGTTTTTCGAATAAAAGACACGCTTATATATAAAAATATTCACGAGAAATGGAAAATAGAATGATAAAAATAATTGCGTTACATACCTTTCATTAGTGAAAGCATTTTAATTGGGTACTATTTAATTAACAATAATTATACTAATTGCAATATTATTGTCGAACTATTGAATATTTGTTTTTAAAAAAATAATATATGCATAATTCAAAATATTTAAAAAAAATCATTTTTAAATCTAATAAAAACACAATGCGCAAGTCAAAGTATATGCAATATTTGCATGATTAGAATCGCATAATTACATACAATTCAAAGTGTTTTTGAATTTTTTTGGAGATTGAACCAAATATCAGGGCAGTAATCTCATGTGATTATTAGTGAATATTATTTATTATAATTTCTCGTTATTTAACCACCCAGCAATCATAGTTCAGCTATAGTATGATTTATAAACTTATTGGAACTTTTATATAGGAATTAATGCTAAAACAACACTTGAATGAATATGAATAATACGATTTCTATAGAAGGAGGGAAACTAACTTTATAAATATATGTTAGGTGAATATATTTACATACTGTGCAGATATATAAATAATCAATTTATATAATTAATATTGCTATACTACAAAATTATATAAATTTATTAGTAAATATGTGGCGGACTTTGTGTACAACTTCTTTTCTAACTTTGTGTACATATTTTACATACATCACATTATTTATCTAGAAGACTTTGAAATAAAATACATATTATTTTAATCAAGTCTTGTAAAATAATATCAAGTCTTGCAGTAAAAAATATATTTAACTAGTGGTGTATGGTATCGTGCCTTGAAGCAAATTGCTGGGTACCGTAACGAAATGTTCGAGAAATATTTAATGTTTTCAAATAGATTATTATAAATACTGTAACATTGTCTAATATTTATAAGAATTATATAAACTGAATAGTAAGCAAAGTTAAAATTATTTAAAATTATATAAGTGAGCTTTTAAAAGTTCAGCCAGAATTTAAATTAAAATCTGAATTATTTTCGATATACAAAAAAAATTCTTTTGAAAAAAAAATTGGAATAATTTTTTTTGCCAAAAGTACTTGTTTTGTCAACACAAGCAGAAAGCATTTTGCACCATTCAAATCGGACTATTAGTTCTCTCAAAAACTGCCATATTTTTCACATTTAGCTCCCACGCCACAAACCAATCAGGACATTTCTCTATCAATATGAATCGAATGTTTTTAAACCATTCAAATCGGTTAATCCGTGCGCCCGAAAACGTAGACGAAAAATTGCGGGCACACAAAACACACAAATTAATTTTTTCTGAGGTATGCCAAAATGTTCAGAAACCTCTGAAACGTAAAGATATGCGAAAATTTTCTCTTTTGATTTTGGGCCCCTTACTATAATTTACCCCACGGAAAGTTAAAAATGATATATTTTTGATACCAACAATATGTTTACAAAGGCCATTATAGATGAAAACAAATTTCCATCTAATTTCTATGCAAGTGAAAACCGATATCACTACTGGTTGACATTAGTCTGTCCGAAGTGGGTATCGAACCTAACGAACCTTCTTTACCAAATATTGACTTATTTTCAGTCATAGTAGATATTTTATTAATATTATTAAAGTAAATATTACATTATGGGCAAGAATAATATCTGACAACTGAATTATGGTTAAAAAATTGACTAAAATTTGATGACTTTGAAACACTCTTTGAATAAAAATCTACAGAAGACTTCAGAAAAGAAATATAATTGTCCCTATAAATTTATAATATTTAATTTTGTATTTTTCAGAATTAAATTTAGCGAAATTGCACGTTTTTATTCTATGTAATAATTCAAACTTAATGCATTTATCGAACAAATTTAATTCTTTTTGAAGATACTCTCCCAACTTCTTTGTTTCTTTTATTTCTTTTAAACCTAATATCGCTTTCACTTTCATATGTGGTATTTCTTCTTCCCTGGCGTAGTAGTATAGTTTACGAACACTACGAAGCACACTGTAATACATACGTGTTTTTCGCATTAGTATAGAGTTGGAGAAACTACCCTCACAAAATAATCCACTACTAGCGAGTGCAGTTTCCTGGATTCGAACACAGAAGTGTCGAATTACGATCAACGACAGACACGTATTACGTATTTGAAGAGCATTGTATGTAGTAATATTTCTGATAAAATTATTAAATCATGGATTTTAAACTTCTAACTTTTTTATAACTATTACATACATGTTTTTTTATTATTGCTATTATTTGTTGTAATGATATTTATTAAGTTTCAGAAGACAAGCCAACGGTTTGTGTATCTCTATTTGATATACTTCATTATTAGAATTCCTTTATTACTTAATAATTATTTGGTCCAGTAATGCCGAA